TTTCACCACGTTGGCCAGGCTGGTCTGGAACTCCGGACCTTAGGTGATCCGCCCATCTCTGCCTCCCAAAGTGCTGGGATTACAGGTGTGAGCCACATGCCTGGCCAACCCTGTCTTTAAAAACGTTTTAAATAAGGCCAGGTGCACTGACTCACACCTGTAATCCCAGCACTTTGGGAGGCAGAGATGGGTGGATCACCTGAGGTCCGGAGTTCCACACTAGCCTGGCCAACATGGTGAAACCCCGTTTCTACTAAAAATACAAAAATTAGGCCGGGCACAGACCCAGCACTTTGGGAGGCCAAGGTGGGCGGATCACCTGAGGTCGGGAGTTCAAGACCAGCCTGATCAACATGGAGACACCCCGTCTCTACTAAAAGTACAAAAATTAGCTGGGCATGGTGGCGCATGCCTATAATCCCAGCTACTTGGGAGGCTGAGGCAGGAGAATCACTTGAACCCGGCAGGCGGAGGCTGTGGTGAGCCAAGATCACGCCATTGCACTCCAGCCTAGGCAACAAGAGCGAAACTCTGTCTCAAAATAAAAATGAAAAAAAATTAATTTTTCATCTGTTTCAAAAAAAATGAAAAAAATAAACTAAAAAATTGAGATTCCTCCCTTGGATCTCCTCCCATGGCAGCGTGGGAGCTCAAAAAATAACAAAAATAAAATTAAAAATTAGCCTGGCATGGTGGTGGGCGCCTGTAATTCCAGCTACTGGGGAGGCTGAGGCAGGAGGATCACTTGAACCCAGGAGGCGGAGGTTGCAGTGAGCAGAGATTGTGCCATTGTACTCCAGCCTAGACAAAGAGCAAAACTCGTCCGTCTCAAAAAAAAAAAAAAATCTTTTAAATAAAAATAAAAAGAGAATTATTATATGACCCAGCAATTCCACTTCTGAGTATATGCCCAAAAGAACTGAAAGGACTTGAAGAGGCTATCTGTACATTTATGGTTCACAGCAGCGTCAGTCACAATAGCCAAAAGGTGAAAACCCAAGTGTCCATTGACAGATGAATGGATTAACAAAATGTGGCAGATACATACAATAGATTATTTATCCTTGAAACTGAAGTTAAATGCATGCTACAACATGGCTAACCCTCGAGGACATTTTCTAAGTGAAATAAGCCAGTTACAAAAGGCAAAAGCTGTCTGATCTAGCTTATATGAGGTATATAGCCAAACCCATAGATGCAGACGGTAGAATAGTGGTTGCCAGTGGCTAAGGAAGGGGGAATTGGGTAATTACTGTTTAATGGGTACAGTTTCAGTTTTGCAAAATGAAGAGTTCTGGAGATGAGCGGTGGTGATGGTTAGACAACTTCCATGTACTTAATATTACTAACTGTACACTCAGAAATGGTTGGCCGGGCCAAGTGGCTCACGCCTGTAATCCCAACATTTTGGGAGGCCGAGGCAGGAGAATCACCTGAGGTCAGGACTTCAAGACCAGCCTGGCTGACACCGTGAGACCCCCATCTCTACAAACAATACAAAAAATTAGCAGGGCATGGTGGTACATGCCTGTAATCCCAGCTACTCGGGAGGCTGAGGCAGGAGAATTGCTTGAACCCAGGAGGCAGAGGCTGCAGTGAGCCGAGATTGCACCACTGCACTCCAGCCTGGGCAACAGTGAGACTCTCTCTTTAAAAAAAAAAAAAAAAAAAATGGTTAAGATGGTAAATTCTAAACATGCATATTTTCCCACAATCAGAATAAAATACATTTTTTAAAAACCCACAGAAAGATACCACTGTACACCCACCAAAATAGCTAAAATTTAAGAGACAGATAAAACCAAGTGTTAATTAAAGTGCAGAGTCACTAACTGAAAAACTCATACACTACTGGGGAAATTTAAGTGGGTACAACCACTTTGGGAAACTGTTTGGCAATATCTACTAAAGCTAAATATATACCTACCCTATGACCATACAATTCCACTCCTCAAGTGTATGTTCAGAGAAATGATTGCGCATGTGCACCAAAAGACATAAGCAAGAATGTTCATGGCTGCTTTATTTGTCTTAGCACCACTGAAAACAATCCAAAGAGCCAACAGGGAAATGGAGAAACAAACTGTGCTATATGCATACCGTGGAATGACTCTCAGCAAGAGATTAGAACTACTAATATGCACAAACTTGTGGATGAATCTCAGACTTTACGCCACATCTATGAGATTCCAGTGCCTGTCTATGTGTGATGAAAGACACACACGAGTTCCTACTATATGATACTATTTATATGGAGCTTATAAGACAAAACTAGCGGATGGAGTTTTTAAAAATCACAACGTGGTTACCTTTATGTTGGAGGTAAGATGAATTCTGAACATAATCAAGTTGGCAAGAGGAAATCTTCTGGAGTGCTGGAAATCCACATCTTGATTCAGGCGATGATCATACAGTATATACGCATGGAAAATTTCACTGAGCAATACACTTTATTTATTTATTTATTTTTCTTTTTGGAGACAGGGTCTCATTCTGTCATCCAGGCTAGAGTGCAGTTGTGTGATCTCGGCTCACTGCAACCTCCACCTCCTGAGTTCAAGTGATTCTCACTGAGCAGTACACTTTAGACCAGTACCTTTTACACATTTGATTATGCATGTTACATGTCAAAAGTCAAATACCTCTAAAGCACCTAATGGCTCTACAACGAGTATACTGTAATTAGAAAAAGGAATAAAATAACAATCTTGCTGTTTTCCTTTTTGACTGAGAAGATGAGACTGTTCCTGTTAGATATGTGGGGGGGTAGTTACATCCCAATTTCCGGAGTCAGATAATGAATTCAAGTCTCATGCAGTGCAAACTTATGTGTTCCAAAATGTTCCAGAGCTTTCCTGAAGCCTCTCCCTATCCACGCATTCTTTAAAGTAAGAAGAACGCTTCAATATTTAGTGTAATCTATACTTTGAATCTGAGCTCCCAATTTACTTTCTACTGGTAAGTGTGCAATTTATTTACTTTTTTTTTGAGACCGAATCTTACTGTCACATCCAGGCTGGAGTGCAGTGGTGTGATCATGGTTCACTGCAGCCTCGACCTCCCAGGTTCAAGAGATGCTCCTACCTCACCCTCCCGAGTGGGTGGGACTAGAGGTACACATAGCAACAAGTGCACATCATCATGCCTGGCTAGTTTTTTTTAATTTTTTTGTAGAGATAGGGTGTTGCCATGTTGTCTAGGTTGGTCTTGAACTCCCGGGCTCAAGCGATCCTCCCATCTCGGCTTCCCAAAGTGCTGGGATTCCAGGCTTGAGCCACTGCACCCAGTTTCAATTTATTTTTTAAGCTTCAAGAACAGCATCCAAGTTTATTTAACACCCTCATTAGCAGGGGCAAAACAAATCCCTCCTCAGCTGTAAAGGCAGAATGTCACATTCCAACCTTGTGATAATTGTGCACCCACCCCACCCCTTGCATCCCCAACAAGGAGAAAGTTTCATTCTCTTGAGCAGCCATTTTGATGCCTGACCCTTAACACAGCCAACACCGTAACTTTAGCATCTCTGTGAAAGTACCAAGAGCAGCTGGGGCGGTGACTCACGCCTATAATCCCAACACGTTGGGAGACCGAGGTGGGTGGATCACCTGAGGTCAGGAGTTTGAGACCAGCCTGGCCAACAAGGCAAAAACCCATCTCTACTAAAAATACAAAAATTAATCAGGTGTGATGGCATTTAACCAGGGTGGTTAAATGTAAAAAAAAAAAATTTAAGTTGATACAGCTCTTCGGGAGGCTGAGGCAGGGGAATAACTTAAACCCAGGAGGCGGAGGTTGCACTGAGCCAATATTGTGCCACTGCACTCTAGCCTGGGTGACAGAGCAAGACTCCATCTCAAAAAAAAAAGAAAACACCAATAGCTATGGCCCACCATTCCCAGGAAAAGAAAGTAAAAGCCAACAAAGGTAAAAGGTTTCTTCCCTTTGTCATCTTCTGCCCTTCATCATAAAGAGTTGCTCAGCTGTTGAAAAAGATGGTAATATGCAAAATGTTTACATTTTAATGAGAATCAAAGGCAAATTCTTTTGAACTGTGTCGCAATGAATAACATTACAAACTTGTCTCTCATTGGCACATGATAATCGTCCTTATTTTAGTCAAGCAGGCAAATTAGTGGGCCTGTAAAAACAGCAAGGTAGGAGGAGAAAAATCATCCAAGGGTTAATAACAGAAGGGCTTGGTTTAGAAGAAGCCTCCTAATGCATCTGTATTCTGATCAGTGTTACGTCATTTGTGTTACGCCAATTCAATTTGTGTTACGCCGATTCAACCGTGAGATGCAGTTTTATTAAAAGCTGATACTGGGCTGGGTGCAGTGGCTCACGCCTGCCGTCCTAACACTGTGGGAGATCGAGGTCGGTGGATCACCTGAGCCCAGGAGTTCAAGACCAGCCTGGACAATATGGCGGAACCCTGTCTCTACAAAAAAATACAAAAACGACCCCGGAGTGCTAGTGCACACCTGTAGTCCCAGCTACTCAGGAGGCTGAGGTGGGAGGATCACTTGAGCCCAGGAGGTTGTAGTGAGCTGAGATCGTGCCATTGCCCTCCATCTGGGTGACAAAGCCAAACCCTGTCTCAAAAAAATTTAAGCTGATATTGTGATTCATCCAAGTGACTCTGTTAACATTATCCCAAACGAAATTATTCAGAACAATTGGCAGTTTTATATAGTTTCAGGAAAAGTGTTTTGAAAAGCAAATATCAAACTGCTTAAATGCAAAGCCACAGGGTCAAAATGGAAAAGCAACTCTTTTAGAACAGTAAAAAATCATGTAACATAATGACACGCAGTATTTTTATTTAAATACATTGTCAGAAATAGATTGGACCCCGTTTCTCCTCAGAGGTTACGTCAAAATACATTTCACTTCATAGAAGTTTATATGTGTCAAAATATTGAACATAAGAGCAAATGGGTTAGTACTACTGGAATGCAGTAATTACAAAGCTGGATAGATGGATTAATTGTCCTACATACCTGTGGCTTTTCAGATTCCTGTGCTTGCTTACTCATGTACATGGGACTCTTTCAGAACCCACTTCTGGAAGCTCCCGGTTTGGCTTCTACACTGCCACCTGTAGACATAAAAGAGGAATAAATCATGCATTATTCGTCAACAATGCATCTTTTCTAGGCATCGAACAGGGACATTTGGGGAAAAAGTGGCAAAATATTTGTTCCAAAAGACAAAAATGTTCTTTCTCCTCTGTGTAGAAAATTTTTAAGGCGTCCTCCTCCCCAGCGGTATGATAATCTGACTAGAAATTGAAACATGTAATTCTCGGATCATCAGCTATGCACCACTCTGATCGGATCATTGAAGAGATGGAGTCGCAGAACTCAACTTACAGCCATTTCAAGACCTGTGGTTTAAAATTAGAAGAAAACTTCACCACTTTGTTCATCTGGTAATTCAGAATTCTGTAAACTGACACAAAGAAAGATCAGGGGAAATTCAGGCGAAGGTTACTTTACCACAGGTTGTTATGATGTCTATTTAAAATAACATTAATTCTAACCTGAAGTACAGTTTAGACCAATCCAAACGGCAGTTTGGTGGGGTATTTTCATCAGAATGCCCTACCCTTGATTTGAATATGAATGATTTCGAAGGGTCTTTCTGAAACCCCACGGATTTTAATACAGGTAGGTCCTTTTTTCAAAAAAAAAAGATCAGAAAAGGAACAAACAGGAATAAAAATTCACGAACAACTATCAGCAAGTCCAAGCAGCCATAAGACGTGCGCGTGTGTGAGAGAGAGAGAGAGAGACAGAGAGAGACGGAGAAAGAGAGACCGACCGACAGACACACTTGAGATTCTGGAGTTAATTGCGAAGAACAAACCGCGCCGCGAAGCTTTTTTACCACCTCCAAGTCCCACAGTCTAAGACAAGTAATCCCCGCTCCAGCACCTTTAGCCAAAGACAGAAGCACCACCACCTCCACCTACCTAGGCGAGACAGCGCCAAAAGCCACCGAGCGAGCACGCCAGCCAGGCCCGCTACCCTGCAAACCCGGGAGCTTCTTTATCCCCAGCAGAGATCCGCCCCACTTACCCGTAATTTACTTTAATGCCTCGAAAGCCTGATTTGGTTCACGCAATTGCAGCAAATACAAGAAAATCAAGTCTCCTTGAGACACTCTCCTCCTCCCTAGGAGAGACAGTCACACGCAACACTCTCCCTTCCCTCTAAACCCCGAACACGCGCTGGACTATCCCAAGAGGGTCTTTGGGAACCCGCCAGAGACCATACTGCTCCCACGTGCCTCCATTAAACCCTCGTCCAAACGTGCACAAGGCGCCAAGGGCATGTGCAGAATCAGCCTTCAGAATAAGTTCAGCAAACCCATTCCCTACCCCCGAAAGAGCGAGAGAGCACCCTGACGCAAGCCCCGGCCCCGACCCCGACAGACAATACTCAAGCAACTCCAGCCTTTCGCGCACACGCCCCGACCCGTCCAGCCACCACTGTCTCCTCCCATGGTCCCTACGGTCTTCGGGCCGGGAGCAGGGGACGTCCTGACGGTTGCTGGGTGTGGACTGCGAAGAGAAGGGCAACCTGCACACACCACCGATACTGCGGGCCGGGTGGGAGATCTCAGTTCTCCAAAGCCCCACCGGTACTGGGCTCCTCAGAAGGGATGGGGTGGGGACAGTGGGACCGAAACAGTGAACCCTAACGGAGGCAGCTTTTCAGCACCTCTCCCCCACCTAGGCGCAGAAGCGCGCACACCACGGGGCCATGCACCTTCCTTCTGCCCCTGGACCTGCCCAGCCCTTGCCTCCAAGTGCAGTGGCCTAGAAGAGCGGGTAGCCGGCCCGCGGTGGCCGGGGCAGCGGGCAGAGCGCCGCGCTCAGGGGTGCCCACCTGCGCGCAGGGTCGTCGTTGCTGCTGGTGCGCCCGCCGCTGTGCAGTCTCCAGCTGCAGGAGGAGAAGGAGGCGCGGCGGCGGAGCCCCTGGACTCCACGCGCCTACTCGCGCCCGGGACCGGCAGTCCTCATTTCCCTCCGTCCAGGCTGGCGAGCCACCCACCTAGCCCGCAGGTTCTGCCAGTCCCGCCGCCCGCCAGAGCCTAAGCTATCCTCTCCGCCCCTTTCCCGCCGCCCCGCGCTGCGCTGCGCTGCGCTCCGCCCCCTGCCCGCCCATCCCTGCTGGGGCCCAGCCGGGGGCTGCGGGCGCCGCGCCTCGTGCCGCAGATTTCGGGTTTTTGGGTCTCTGGCAATAGAAAGGGGGTGGGAGGTCCAGGGGTGCGGCCCTGGGGTCCGCCCCCAACCCCACTCTCCCAACCCGTTTCCCACTCTCTCAACCCGTTCCCCACTCCGGGGGCCCGCGGCGGCCGCCTGTGGCTAAGGGTGTGGGCACCGCGCACTCGGCCCCCGCTCTTCCGGCGTCTCCCCGCAGGGCACCTTCCATGGCCCCGAGGGTGCCTCGTGTCTTAGAGGGAATGGGGCTGGTGAAGCGGGGTGGGGTGAGCTTGAGAGTGGAGGCGAAAAAATTACCATGTGAATTGCCAGGGGATGCAAGTTGCTGCCTGTGCCCTGTTTCTGTTGCATTTAACTACCTGGATGTGCTGCTTTCCTTGCTACAACCGCAGTAATATTCAGAAGCATGAATATAAGATTTCCAAGTTAATTGGTTGTAGGGTGGTTGGGTTTTTTTAAATGTAATGATAGCAGATGACAACAGATTCATTCTTTTTAAAAAGTTACTTTACATATATATAATATATAAAGCCACATTTCTAATTTAAAAAATAGCAAAATATAAGTAACAGAACAGCTGTGTTTTACAGAAACAGATCCAGTGTGTATGTGTTATCTAAACGCACTGTAATTATATTAATTGGTTCGTTTTAAAGTGTATTTTAGGTATTTCTTAAAACGAACTCAGAATTTAGGGATTAGAAACCCCTGAGCTTTAATTTGGCTTTTTGTCATAGTTCTAAAATGTCAGTTTCGTGGATATTACTAAATGGGGTTGTTTAGAAAAACGGATTCTTTTTCTTCCAGGTTGGCAGCAATTTTAGATCTGGCAAAGGACAGATTTTTTTAAGTTAAGAAATAATAAAATTCTCATTCATTTTCTGATGATGGAATATCTGGTCTGGTAGCTTTTTCTTTCGCATTTCTCTCTTTGAGGCAAACTTCCTTTCTGTTTCTTCTTACACGTTCTTCTTCCGAAATTTTTCTTAAATATAGGCAGTTGAAGCTGTGATTTTTGAGCCTTTGTTTTCTTAAATGAGATGGAAAATTAATTATAATCCATTATCAGTATCCATCCCGGGCTCATGATACTACATTTCACACTGATTAACCCTATTTTTCAACTCTGCTTTTAGTCATTTCACCTAACACTTGAGAACCAAGAGTTTTCTAAGTTTCTTTCTTATAAGAATGAAATGCACCACTTTAATTAACATTTTGAACCAAAATTAAATTCACTAATGGAAAGTACATTAGTACAGTATGTGTTGCTGGGTAAATGAGGACAATGTGGGTGATAAACAGTACCGAAGAAAAGACTCCTGAAGCAAAGAAAACAGTCCTTAGGAAAACTGATGATCCCCTTTTCCAGGGAAGGATGACAAATGCCAGTAATTATGCAAAGAATGACTCCTGCCTCTCTTCTCTTTGCTTTGGTTTTGTGGGTAGGCCTGCATTTATCTCTCTTGATCATCATAATAAAAGTAAAGTAATTCAGCATTCCAGTGACACTGCTTAGTAAATTAGCAATTTGAAAATGCTTTTACGACCTAATTAATCCAAGCTAATGCTTCGATAAATCCAGCTTTACTCTTACATTTTTTGTACCTCCAGAGAAACACTTGCATGAAAGAAAAAATGGCTAAGGCAAGCTCTAAAACAATTGCTAGCCAGATTCTTTGGGTGTATGTGTGTAGCAATAGAGTTGATATTGAGTGACCTTTGAGTCTTCAATTATATATCAGATATTGGTTCTGAGTTGCGCGTTGGCTTCTTCTTTAGTGAGTTCTTGTGTTTGCTTTGCCGTTTATTCCCCAGATGCATGCTTTATCTTCCTTTCTGCCTTATTGAATCGACCTTTGCCTAAACTATGTTCATTGAACTCTCACCAAAAAAATCAGACCCTAATCCATAGCCCACTTGACAATCATCTTTGTCTTTTAAGTTTAGTCTCTTTTGAGGTCTTTGGTAAGAATCCAGCATGATTAAATATCCAAAATTGGAAAGAGTACTTCATTAGGCTTGGTTCTAACTAGGAGATAACAACCAGATTTCTCAAAACAAAAGGGTGTACCATTCGAATAAAAAGAAGAAAGAAACAAAAACAGCAAATCCATTTTGTTCAGGTCAAAACCAAGCCAACAAAAATCACAACTGAAATCCTGTCTAAGCCTCAGTTGTGCTATGAGATATGTAAAAAGGACAATTAAAATAATTTATCTATTTTTTCACTACTACAAATCCTTTGCTCCACTGATCAAACACCATTATGCTTCATATTTCCCTCCTAGTTCCCATGCTATTGAGTATTTTTCACTGATCTTAAAATAAGAAAGTGCACTGGACACTCCCATTAACCCCAAGGAATTCGGTGTCACCCTCCATTTGGTTTCAAAAGTTCTCTTGAAATGTCTGTGGCATTGATGGGGACAGATCTGAACATCCCATGTAGACCTGTGGAAAGGGAGCTCCATGACTAGTCTATATTCAAGACAGTGTGATTAAAACAAAATCCCAGATTAAACTGTTTTGTTCTAACAGTTTAATCCAATTGGCACCTTCCATTCTGATCCTCACTCCAGCAAAAGGTTTTATAATGTGTATTTTCCCCTCTGGAGAAATTTTCTCTTGAAAATTACTTTAGTAATTTTTTGTTCATTTACCCTTTGAGCTGTGAGCCTGAACATAATGTACAGTCTTCTCTCCTTTCTTTCCTATAATAACTGAGAATTGATTTAAAGGGGAAAAGAACACAATGAGAAAACTCTTCTGCCAGTTTCTTCTTCTGGCTCTAAGAAAACCGTGAACTAGCTTTCTTTACTTTGTTTGATTGGATTGAGCAGCATCATTGATTCAAAACTGCAAATGTCAATTACGTTAATTGATCTTCTTGTTTTAGGAAATACATCACTAGTCATCTCACAAGACAGTGAAGATAGAAACAATACTACTCATATAATGCTCAGATTGAAATGTTGATGATCTAAGTTACTTAAAAATATACTTGTGTATATGTGGGTGTGTATATGTATAATTCAAAGCTAAATATAAACCTGATTACTTGTAATAAATTCTTCAGTTACAAAACCTTTGGTAAGCTTGCTCATGTTTTTGGAGTATGTAATAAACTGAAGAATACCTCACTACCTTACTCACAGGAAAGTACTCTTTTCTGATCCAGATCTCCTCGTAAATTCTCAACATCAGCTATTTAACAGTATCATCTCATGGTTAAAAAGAAGAAGAAGAAGAAAAAGCCAGAAAGGGCGGGGGAGGAGGGAAGGAGAAAGACAAAGATAAAAAGGAACAGAGTAAAGACTGTGGGACTGTGGCCAGGAGCAGTTACACCCAGCACTCTGGGAGGCCAAGGGGGGCGGATCACTTGAGCTCAGGAGTTTGAGACCAGCATTGGCAACATGATGAAACCCCATCTCTCCAAAAAAAAAAAAAAAAAAAAAGCTGGGCGAGGCTAAGGCAGGAGAATCGTGTAAACCCGGGAGGCAGAGTTTTCAGTGAGTGGAGACTGAGCCACTGCACTCCAGACTGGGTGACAGAGTGAGATTCTGTCTCACACATGCACACACACACACGCGCACACACACACACACACTCATACAAGAGTAAAGACAATGCGATGGGGTGAATATGTTTATGACTGGTTAGCACAACTGATAAGCACATCAGGTTAGTAAGATAATGCTTTTCTCCCCCTGTGGACCATTTTGCTTTGTTTTGCTTCATGGCTGTCAATTAAAGCCCTATTCCTAGACATGAACAAATGTATTCTTAGTCACCAGATATGGTGGCTGGAATTGTGTCCCCCAAAAAGATAAGTCAAAGTTCTATCCCTGCGACCTCTGAATGTGACCTTTTTTGGAAAGAGGGTCCCTGCAGACATAATTAAGATGTAAATTAAGATTAGGTCATACTGAAATAGAGTAGGCCCTTAATCCAACATAACTGGTATCCTTACAAGAAAAAGACAGACACACACACACACACAGACACACACACAGACACAAACACTCACACACACACACACAGAAAGAGAGAGAGAGAGAGAGAGAGAGAGAGAAATGGTCATGTAAAACTGAAGGCAGAGATTGGAATTATGCTGCTATAAGCCAAAGAACGGCTGAGAGTACCAGCAGCTGGAAGAGACAAGAAAGGGTCCTCCCTTAGAGGAATTGGAGAGGACATGGACCTGCCAACACTTCGAGTTTGGACTTCTGGCCTCCAGAACTGGAAAACAATAAATCTTGGTTGTCTTCAACCACCCAGTTTATGGGAATTTACAGCCCTAAAAACCAATACACCAGGAAGTCATCACCAACTTTTAGTAATGCCAGCCTATCATTTTCTGTACCCAGTGCAGAGTAAATGTTCAACTGTAAAGTGTTTAAAAATGATTGGCAAGGCCAGGCACAGTGGCTCACACCTGTAATCCCAGCACTTTGGGAGGCAGAGGCAGGTGAATCACCTAGGTCAGGAGTTCGAGACCAGCCTGGCCAACATGGTGAAACCCCATCTCTACTAAAAATACAAAATTAGCGGGGCGTGGTGATGTGCACCTGTAATCCCAGTTACTTGGGAGGCTGAGTCAGGAGAGTCACTTGAACCTGGGAGGAGGAGGTTGCAGTGAGCCAAGATCACGCCACTGCACTCAAGTGTGGGCAACAGATAGAGACTCAGTCTCAAAAAAATAAATAAATAAAGTAAAATAAAATAAAATAATAGGTAGAGATATTTTTGTATATGAAGGACAACAGCAGGGTAGAATCATCCAGGAATTAAAAAGAATCTTGAGAATTTACCTAATCCAATAAATTGCTCCTCCAAAATATGATTCTGCTACAATCTAGAATCATAGAGTAACAGAATTTTTTTTTTTTTTGAGACGAAGTC